CCTTGTCTGTTCTCCTACCTGGTCTCTTCTTGCATTACTGGGTACGCCCTGCTTCCGGCCGTCTGTGCCGCGATTCTTCACACACGCGACCACGACGGCCGCACTCCGTTCCTTGGCGCCCGTGTGGCGGCTGGCACTTCCGACCCTATCTCTGCTGCGGTGCAGGACGCAGAATGAACTCGACCCAGATCCCAAGTTTAGATCAGTAGCAGTGCGGGCTACTGGGCTTCACGGGCCACTGCCCGCGGTGCCCCCCTGCACCAGCCCTAGCCGCGCCGGCCGCCTGTGGGCGTAGCATATCCTTCTGGCGCCTGCGCGCGGGCGCTGTGCCGGCATACCGAGGTTCGCGGTCGGACGTCATTGCGCAGGTGCCCCCAGCAAACAGCTGCATCGTCCACTGTCTAGTCAGCGTCGCGTCCAGAGGTCCAGCAGGCGCGAGGCCAGCAGGCTGCTGCAACCCCGCTGCAAGGCGGCGGGGCGTCGCGGCGCGCCGGCGCCGGTCAGGCGCCGCGCGTGTGGCGCCCCCCAGCAGTGTTCTCTGTTAACTCCTGCGGTGTTCAGAGCGGCTCTTGTGTGTAAACGTGTTTGTGAGCGTCACGGATCAAATGTGAGCACACAGCACGTGCAGGTCGCAGTGGGGTGGCAGTGAGGGGCAGGCGGGGATGCTCACATGATCTCAACCAACGTCAACAGCCTCTGCTTGCGCTGACCTGGCTGTCGGAAATGCCGCGATCGCACGCATGCATGCACGCGCGTATGCATGTATGCGTGCGTGTGTGTGCACGCACGGATGCGTGCGTGTATGCACGCACAGAACACATACATCACGCTCACGTGCACGCGACGCACACAGCACAGGGGCTAACTTCAGGTGCAAACCGCGAAAGCATCTTACACGAGACTGTTCCAACAGTTGTTGTACAGGTGGCGGTGACCACAATGAGCGTCACACCGACGGCAGCATACAAGCCCGCATGTCATCTTACTTGCTGCATCAAATGCACCCAAAGCAGCTTCTGGCCGTTAAATGCCTGTGTTGCAGAAGTCCACATTCGTTTCTTTGGCAGCTTGACTCTCGATCAGGGTTTCAAGCTCAGAGGTCGAGCTGTAAGTGATGGCTGGACACGTCACGAGTTAAGCCGGGTGGCGACACAGGAGGGATCCACAGGGTTGATCCACCGCCACAGCGCCAAGCCCTGATGGTGCACACGCACGTCATCGCGAGGCGGCGGCCGGCGCACGCACGAGTGCGCGCGGGCGCGCGCAGGCGCTCGTCGGCATCCCCCACGACGGGTTGGCAGGGAGCGCGCGTGGCGGGGAAAAAAACAAAGAATCGTGTGCAGCCTTGTGACCGCCGCGCAGCGACGGCTGCGAAAAACCGCGACCACCGGGCTCAGCTGACCACGCAGCAGGCGCAGTCCGACCATGTTTCCTGGGTCAGAAAGTCCAGCCCCTGGATGTCCTCCAGCCGTGACACCACCTCCTCCATGGCCGGCCGCTTCCTGGGGTCCTGCGCCCAGCAGTCCTGCGGCCGCGTGATGGGATGGAGTGGTCGTCGCACAGTGTAGGGGGGTGGCGTGGCCGCTGGTGTGACGCCAAGAGGGGCGATGCACCGCACACAGTCCGCCGTGGCAGGCCAGGCCCCTGGTTGTGGCTGGGGCAAGGCGGCGGCCGCAAAGTCCATTGCATAGACGCGCGCCCCAGAACAGGTTTACTTGCCGAAATCAAAGCGTGACTCTACAAGCACGCTTCAATGAGCACGACATTTCAAGGAGTGCCCCCTGAACCCCAGGGTGGGGAGGCCTCCCAGCAGCGCTGGCCTGCTACATCCAAAAATGAACGCATGCTTTTGCCCACCTTGCCAGGCCTCGGGGCCTCCGTTTACGCCCCCGCCCACCTCGCTCCCCCCCCCCCCCCACACACACACACCTTAATGAGGGAGGAAATCTCAGGCGGCCAGCGGTCGTGGAGGGGGGGGCGGAAGCCGCCGGCCACCCGCGCCGCGTAGGCCTCCAGCTCCTCGTAGGTGCCTGGACGTGGTGACGTCACCAGTGGTCATCCGACAAGGACCACTGTTTCAGCATGTTCTTAAGCGACCCTGGACCCAATCCCAACCAATGAGTATGGGGCCTGACACCGAACCACAAATTGCCTCCCTTCGGAAGCTAAGGGGCCTCTCTGCACAACAGAGCCCAAGCACCAGCCAGCACGCACTAGCAAAGCACCTGCTGCCGGGAGAAAAACGCGCATCATCAACAGCCTGGCATCACCCACAGCCCTGCTTCGTTCCGACGGCAGTCACTGCGCACTGCAAAACTATGGGCCCCATCCAGAAACTCACCCTTGATGGAGATGGCGGAAAGCATGATGTACTTCTGCAGGAGCTCAAACATCATGACGCCAAAGCTGAACACGTCCGCCTGCGGCGCGCATCCATGGGTCAGGGCCGAAGTAGGCCTGGGTGAAGGGGCCGGCTTGAGAAAGGGCATGAAGGGCACAGTCGTCCACCCTTGCCAGTGCAACCGCCGGCATCTCAGGGGTGGGTGATGACCTGTCCAGGCGGAGGCAGCTCGACACCGCTGGCACCCATTGGGGCCTGCAGTCTTGCTGAAGCTCAGCAGCCTGTTTGGCCCTCACCCGGGCACGTGCACACGCACATGCTGATACACACGGAATCGGCACACACCTAAACATGATAACGCCCACCTTCTCATTGTAGGGTTGCTGCAGGTAGACCTCTGGGGCCATGTACATGAGGGAGCCCGTCCTGCCCGTCAGGTTGAACGCAGCCGCCCCCGCCCTCGCCTGCTTCCCGCTCGCCTGCCGCGCCAGCTGGCCCTTGCATGCGCGCGCCGCCCACACGCGCTCCAGGCCGTCGCTGCAATGAGTGGATTTGGGGGCGGCGGGGTTTCGAGGCGCGCGGTCATGATCAACCGTGCGAGGTGGGGCTGGAGGCACGTGTGGGCCTGCTCCTTTGATTGGATGATTGGAGAGGAGTGCGTGTGGAGTCCCCATCCCCAGGCATCACCGCTGGCAATAGCTATACATGGCCACACAGTGGCATGTCTCTGCAATCGAGTAGCCCCTCCATCAGATACCGACACTCCAGCAGCACCAACCATGCAATGCAGGCGCCCAACTCCGCAGTCGCAAGCGGTAGCGCCCCGAGGGGTGGCCCCCAGCTCGCACCCGTCTTTGGCGCCCGCAGCCTCAGAAGCGACTGACAGGGCAGACAGCAAGCTGCTGCGCCGCCGCGCCAGCTCAGCGTTTTTGGCTTCAACCCGCCGGGACAGCCCAAAGTCTGCGATCTTGGCCTCCCACCGACCGTCGTGCGGCTTGTCGCCTGCATGACGGGTATGTTTGTTATTGCGGGGTTGATGACAAGCGTTTACGGCGTGGCCGTGGCGGCGTTGACGGTCGCTGTTGAGGTAGCCAGGGGCATTGGCGTGGGCGCAGCGTTCAGCCGGCACTGAAGTCAGCCCGCTGCTATCTTGGGGGGCGGCGCGGTGCTTCGGCCACAGTCAGCCGCTTGGAGGGGCAGGCAGGGGGGGTGGGGTTTGCATCCCTGCAGGGCAGGATACCCCTGTGTCAGAAGGGTTGTGTGCGGGCTCACTGTTGAGGAGGACATTCTCGAGCTTCAGATCACGGTGGATCACCTGCAGATCAGGTCAGATCGGATCAGGTCATGTTATCGTGTTCGTTTGTGGAAAAAAATAGCAACGAATGTTGAAGGGATGATTGGTCTGCCATGGCGCACCACCTCAATCCAATCACTGCAGCGGCCGCCAAGCACCTCGGCCTGCACCCCAACGCCCGGTCAGCCGGCAGCAGCGCCGAGCGGCCCCTGCCCTCCCCCCTTGTCCCGAGCCCCAGCTGCTGGACGGCTGCTACATATTCGTCGCCACGCGCGCGCCGTCGCGCGCCGCCCGCCGCACCATGGGCTTTGCGCTGTGTAGGTATTGCAGCCCCCGCGCGATCTGCAGGCAGATGTCTATGGCGGCCGCGTCCGAGTACACGCGCTGCGGGTTGAGCATCATCTGGCGGGTGACCAGCTTCTTGAGGGTGGGGCCGGCCATGAACTCCTGGGAGGAGTGGTTCCACCAGCAGTTTGACCAGCAGTTTGACCAATGGGCCTCTCATAGGCTTCGCACTGGTTTGACCAGTACTTGACCAATGGTCTGACCAGATTAGAACGGGACGGGTCGCACTCGGATAGCAGGGCGCTGCGGCTGCAAAGCACGGGTGCTGCGAGGCACTGGTGGCAACGGCAAAAAGTGCAGCAGGGAGCGAGGCATCGTGTCTGACCCTTGCACAGGGCAAGCAGGGGGCGCCTGCACACCTGCACCATGAATGCGCCCCCCTCGTCGCCGACGGCGACGCCGCCCGCGCCCACAAGGCCGACGATGTTCCTGTGCTGCAGCTTCCGCATCAGCTCCACCTCTGTCTCGAAGAGTTCGAGCTCAATCTCATCCCCATACAGCTCAGGCTTCAAGTGCTTGACGGCCACCTTGAAGGGCTTGCCGCCACCTGGAGGCGAGTACCTAGGCGCATGTGATTGCGAATACACCACTAGTGTGTGGGTGGGTGCTCGGGCGGTGCTGGGACGCCACGCGCGTGTGGCTGCGGACGACGCCAGGCCAGAGGTGGGGGAGGTGGAAGAGGAGGGGGCGGCGCGGTGTGGGAGCTGGCTGGGGTGGGTTTTGGGATGTTAGGGATGGTGGCGTCGGAGGCGATGGGGCGAGGGGACGAGGGGCACGGAGAGGAGTGGAAAGAAAATGGGAGGGATTGAGGAGGGGAGGGGAGGTGAAAGGGGACGAAAGAGGGCAGAGGGAGCAAGGATGGGGGGTCGAGGGGAGCGGAGGGGAGGCGGCTCTCACCAGGAACTCTCAACCCAGGCGAAGGCGCCCTCCCCCAGCGTCTTGATGGGCTTGAGGCGCGCGGGGTCAATGCGGGCGTCCGCCGCGCGGTCCCTCAGGGTGTGGAACGCCTGGCTCAGGCCGACCCTGTCCATCACAGCTTCCCGCGCCTTGAGCCAGCCGGCTGAGGTTGCGTGCGGCGCCTGCGCGCCGCCGGCCGCGCCGCCGGCGCTGTCGGGAGCAGTCGCTGCGGGCGCGTCGGCGCCCTGCTCCTGCTGATGAGGCTCGCCCGCGTCCGTCGGCGGCGCGGATGCAAACGGGCTGACGCCGCCGGCCATCCCGCACGTCGTTGAAGATTTGTGAGCTCGTCAAGCTTCCCGCTTCCCTGTTCGGGCGAGTTGGAGTGACCTCGCTGTCACGGGAACCACGGGGGCACCAGTTTGCACCTGATTCAGCCTGCAACGCAAAATTTCTCACCTACTCAAGATACGTTCGCAGGTTGGCCGACAGCCGGAGCCTGGTCAGAGACGGTCACTTTTCTACACTGCATGACTCAGCTGATCAGCTAGGTGTGGCACTAGGCTGGGAGACCTGACCACGCTGCGGATGACATGCGTACGGACGTGTGTTGCAGTGCCACTCGTTGAGGCGCTGGCTGCTTCAACGTTCGTCAGTATGCCTTCCGGGGGGACCAGCAGCTCGCCTGCACCTTCGCCACAGTCATGTGACCGGGCGTGGCTGTGCCTGGGCAACACAAGTTGGTGCCCCACATGCAGAAAGCATGCAGCTGCGCAGGTACCTTTGACAGGACATTGTGCAGAGGTTTTTCCCGACTAGCATTATGTGGCTGCAGTAGCAGGCACGTCAACACAGGGTATGAATGCCGTTTCCTTCTGAATCACCCGACCTTACTCTATCAGAAACACCACACCAGGGCGGGCTCTGCAAGTATGCGCGCTGCGACTCGCCCTGACTCCCGCGCAGGTCCCCTGCTTGCTCGCCGGTCTCACTTCGTCCGCCCCCAGTGCCCTTGTGCCCGGCTGCACGGCTACTAGCTATTTTCCGCCCTGGTTCATGTGCCGCCAGCCCCACCGGGATAATGTTCAGGTCCCAGATATAGGCTATGTGCGCCCTGGCCCTGCACCCTGCTACCAAGCCAGATCAGAGTGCGTTTACACACGCTGACTCATGCTGAGCAGCAGGCGTCCAACAGTCCAGCTCTCACGGACAAAGGTGTCCGTGGGCAGCACGACACACATGCCAGGCCCTTGCTGAGCGTTGCATCGTCATCCACTATGCAACCCTCTCTCGTCGGCAGGCCGTCACAAACATGTGTCAGACACACGGCAGTCCAGGCTTAACACGCTCTTGCACGCGCGATTGCAGCGCGTATCGCTGTCGGTCACGTGCGGTTGCGTAATGCCAAATCATGAAACTGTACAGAGGCACCGGCAGCTGCCGGCCCAGCAAAGCCTCGGGGTGCTGCGTTGCAGCGGAACGGTCCGCCGCCCGGGCCGCAGCACCCACCACCCGCCCTCACGCCGCCGGCGCGCTGGCGCGCGCGAGCGGCGGCGACGCGCCCTTGCCGCTCTCCTCCACGACGGCCGGCTCGGCCTCGGCCGCGGCCGCGGCGCCGCCGCCGTCGCCGTCGCTGCCGTTGTCGGGGGGGGCCGCGCCGCCGTCGATCAGGTCGTCCACCGTGGCCTGTCGCGACCAAAGCTCCGCGTACTTGCCCCCCTGCAGTTACAATCAGGCCAGTTGCATGTCCGCGCCAAACTGAGTGAGCGCAGGCGTGCCGTCCGACAAGTTTGTGCACGGAGACGTTGTGGGCGCGTGCATCAGGCAGGTCCAGTGCCTCGGAACGTGCGTGTGAGAGTCAGTCAGTGTGGCCGGCTGGCGGGGTGGCCGACACAGGATATCGTGGAGACCCGCAGATGTGGATGCGAATGACGTGGTGGGCACGCCGCCGCGCGCCAAAGCACGCAGAGCACGCGTCGGTCGGCTGTCCGGCTCAGGGCCGCCCCGCCCCGCACCTGCGCCAGCAGCTGCTGGTGCGGCCCCGCCTCGACGACCCGGCCCTGGTCCAGAACCACGATCTTTGGGAGGAATGACGGGGGAAAAGGACGGGGCGCGGAGAGCGAGGGCGGCGGAGAGGCGGTGACGGGAGGAAAGAGGTGGGCGATTACGTGGGTACGGCTAGACAGGCGGCATGGGGGAGAGGGGGTGTGGGGAACGAGTGAAGTCCAGCGGATATCGGGTCTGGGCTGCGCGCGCCCGCTCTGCGCGACCAGTTGGCTCCGTCCAGTGGCGCAATATGCGCCATCGTACCACCAGCTGCAGTTTGCGCCCCCGCCCTCGCCACGCAAACGTCAGGCGAGCGCCCGCGAGCGGCGCGCGTGCATGCCCGCATGCCCTCTCGCCTGGTCGCACGCGGCGGCGGTGCTGAGGCGGTGGGCGACGAATATGGAGGTGCGCCCCGCGGCCAAGGCCTCGAGGCTCTCCAGGATCTCCCTCTCGGTGGTTGTGTCAAGCGCTGACGTGGCCTCGTCGAACAGCAGGACCCGGGGGTTCTTGAGGAACGCCCTGGTGAAAGAAGAATTACGGACGGCAGGGCGGGCGCAAGCCAGGGGGTGCTGAAAAGGGGGTCCGCCGATGCGGAGGGGGCGTCCTGGAGGGCGCACGTGCTGTTTGTCGGGTGTGGCCCCTCCGACGCGGGACCTTGAATGAGCAGCCAGCGCCGCGGCGGGCTGCGCGGTGCCTTGGAGCCCCTCCGCCCTGCTGGGCCCCTGCCTGCTCCCCTGCAGGGATCACGTCGAGACGCGCCGCGCCAGACGGAGGGGGCCCGCGCCGCACCTGGCGATTGCGACGCGCTGCTTCTCTCCGCCGCTGAGCTTGAGGCCGCGCTCCCCCACCACGGTGCCGTAGCCGTCAGGCATGGCCATGATGGCATCGTGGACGCGCGCGGCACGGGCCGCGGCCTCCACCTGCGAATGGAGCGTCGGTTGTGGTGGTGAATGATGTCAATGTGAGCGTGTGCGCGCGTGTGCATGGTGTGTGTGTGTGTATGTGTGTGTGTGTGTGTGCACGCGTGTGCATGTGCACATGCGTGTGCATGCTATGTTCAAGAACAAAGTACAAGGGGAATGTGACGGGGCTGCCGACGATCGAGACAGCAGCAGCGTTCTGCCCAGGCAGGAGCGCAGCGAGAAGTTCATGTGGAGTCCCCAGGCCAGAGCGCGAGCTGGGTGGTGGGTGGCGCGACGGCGGTGGGGTCGGCGCAGCCACGGCGGGCTGCGCAAAGCCAGCCACGCCACGCCACGCGCACCTGCTCCCTCGTGGCCGAGAGGTCCCCGTAAGCTATGTTGTAGAATATAGTGTCGTTGAAGAGCACCATGTCTTGCGGGACCTGCATGGTTGAGGGTGGAGAGGGCGCAGTGCAGGGAAGCTGCTGGGAAGCTGGGGGAGCTGGGGCGGCCGGGTGGGGGGTCTGGGGGGCCGCATTGAGGTGTGTGAGCGCCAGGGCGCCGCGCGTCAAGGTTGGATGCACCGGGGACCGCTGCATACAACGGGGCTTGTCGGCTGCGCCGAGACTCGACGCGCAGCCGGGCAGGCGGGCGCCGCGGGGCGGGTCCTGGCGGGCGGCTGGGACGCGGTGGGG